TGTGCCAAAGTAAACAATCTCATGGCTAGTTTACATCAAAAAAGTGCACTAATTTCATTGTAAGCAAAGTAACAACAAATTGGTTCTCAGCCTGCCACAGAACACTGTAGGAACACCCCTCTGTGAAAACAGGAGTAAACCATACTGGGACCCTCAATGCACACTCAGCCTGGCATCCTTACCTTCAAAACAGTTTAGGAAGTACAAACCTGTTTTTCCTACAGCTATCACATAGATTACATGCCAATGAGCTTCCGTGCTGTTGCTACAGGTTTAATGGTGGTTCAGTGAAAAAGGTAGCAAGGATCATTCACTTAATAGAGTGAGAAGGAATTATATGGTCCTTTGGCTGGCTGTGCAGAAGAGCTGGTCATGAGCTGGTTGGGAGCTGCATCAGGTGCAGGATGCCACTGCAACACAGTATCTCTACCACCATAACTAGCAATATGATGATGCAGTGATGAAATAATAAAAGGGAAAGGACTGTGCTTTCTTGCCTTTTTCCTTGGGTTCATGTGTAAGCACTGAATTCTGGGATGTGAGCAAGTGTCCACCAACTCAATCCAAAACTGATCCTCAGCCAGTGCAGATCACCACCCAGAGAGCAGAAGGGGCCAGGGGAAAAGATGAGTCTCCCATTCTGACTTATGACAGTGAGTTGGTCTGGTGTTGGCTCTGATGATTCCTGAACTGGGGAGCTATCTCCTTCAGGACGAGTCCTAGAGCCACAGCTCCAGCTGGAGTCTCAGTTTGGCTAGATGCAAGCTGAGGAAAACCCTTCTTAGATGGGGACAATAGTCCCACCTGGAGCTTGGCTTCAAGGTCTCAGGATTTAAGGTCCACTCTCTCAGTACATCAGCTGAAATTCAGCTCTTTGTAAAGATACGCTTCAATGCATCCTAAGTGAAATCAGCTGAAAGCCCACCTTCACACTGAAGGAAGAATACTCGAGACGCTTTTCCACCAGTTGAGAAACAAACTCTAGTTAGACCTGTGCTATTTTCCTGAAGAGGCACCAGTGTGCAGCTTGAACTCAGTAGCTCCTGCCAGAGCCCAAACCTGGCGGATTTGTACAGGTCACTCATTAACTGGCTCCAGTACCAACTTCTTTCAAGTTGTCTATGCTCATGGCATGTTTCAATTACCAGAACCCGTAAAAAAAAGAGGCTTTTTGATCAGGACTATAAAGAGCTGCAACATAACTTCATGTCTCAGAGCATTAGCTCACTCGTATCACTGCCAGGAGGAGTATAAGAGATGCCTTCCATGGAGCAGAAGGAAGCTGCTCAATGGCACTCCCCCCATGGATCAGTATGGTGCTTTGCAAATGCTGAAAAACACACACACCCCAGAGAAAAGAAAAAGAAAAGCCCTCTCTATACTCACTTCAAAGTACATTGATTTGGAATCAAAATGCAGAGAACAGATTATTCTCACATGCCCCAGCTCCTGCAGAGACCCGTGTAAACCCACATGGCACCCCAGGGCTAAGTGCAGAGATTTGGGAGACAGTCTGAATCCCAGGGGCCTTGCTAAGTACCACAGACAATTCTGTCTGGTAACACTTACAAGCCAAGGAATCAGGGAAGATGACACATTAAAAAAGAGCAATAGAAAAAATATATTTTTTTCCTCTCATTACACCCTCCTGGAGGTGGCATACTGTGGACAGTAAATGAATTAAAAATCTATTGCAATGTTTTAGACACATTGATTATTTGATGGTCTCCTGTTAAATCAGTGGCTTTAAAAGCCCTTATGTGAAGGACATAGCTGAAATAAATAGAGCTCGTGCTTGGACATAGGCTGTGCTGGCATAAATCAAAACAAGTTTATGGGTAAGAACAGAATTAAGAGTGGGTATGAAGAGTATGCAAAAAATACTCAGAACAGCTTACAGATTTAATGCATTCTGCTGATAGTGGTGTGTTGGGAGGTTATTTATTTAATCTAGAGGTGGGCATACAGAAAACCAGAAGTAGGTAAGGCTAAACTAGATCCCACTGCAATTTGAGGAGGTTTGCCTATCAATTTCTATAGCTTGGAGCACTTGCTTCTGAAAGCAAAGTTCAAATGAATACAGCCCAGGTGGCACTGTACAGCGCCCACTTCGCTAATCTTCATGCTGGAGCAGCCAACAAATTGGCAAAACTAGTTCAGAGGGCAGTCAGGGGAGGGACAGAAGCAGCACACGATTGCCTTGGAGTTACCCAGAGTTATCTACACATCACGCTGTATGCTCCCTGCTTCTCATAATTAGAGTGTCTAGACAGGAGATGATGCTGGTGAAGCAGCAAGTAAAAAGGTTTTGCAGTTTTTCAGAGGAGCCCAGCTAAAGCAGTGATTGCAACAGAGTGATAGACACAAGACTTGCAGAACCTAGCTGAGATTAGAGCCAATTTTGATCTGTGTAAGGGTCCTTTCATAACCCTTTACATCCCCAAAAAAGCTGCTGAATCAGAGCAGTGATGGCTCAAGCACTCAGGAGAGCTCAGAGCTTTTGAACCAGCCTCAAACTGGAGGTTTCTCCAAAAATAATTGCAGCTGTGTCTCAGCTTTATCCAGATGCAGGCATTTAGCAGCCTCAACTTGTGTAAACCAGCTTCACTCCACTGAAGTCAACAACAATTGACACCAGCTGAGAATCTGGCTCTTGGTGTGGTTTAAATATAGTCTGAAGAAAGAGAACTTACAGAAGGATTGCCCAATTCCTCATGTCCATTTCCCCCTTGGGGTAAGGATGAATAAGATGATTTTTTTTTTCTTTTTAATTTAGTTTCAGTTATTTTTAACAACAGTATTATGAGTTCGCATTTATTACAGCACCTTCTATCCTCCAAGAGCTAGGCTGCCTTCCAGGCTTCACCAGGAATCATGGAGAGAGATGGACATGGCACCGGAATGGAGCCACCTCTGGATGCAACACAGGGGTTGCTCAGCACACACAGAAACCTGGCCACAAACACAACAAATCATTGAGGGGACTAAAACAATTTAGCTTCACCATTGTAAGAGCAAGCCTCAGACATTTGCACAAGGAAGCAATCCAAGCAGCCGTTTCAAATCCTCCCTTGAGCTGGCCAGGAGATGGACATGATGTTTTTACAGCCATGCAGGGCATCATGATTACACACTGTGGCCCTACATGTGAAACACAAGGCCTGATTACCACACATACTGCTAGGAAAAGGCAAACATGAATGACCTTTGAGAAAGGAAGAGTAGCTAGATCACTCCTACTGTGACAAACCAGGGCTCTGTTGGCATTCCCCCATCTCTTTAGTTCAAACATGCCTGCAAAGCTAAGGAATATGACTCTGAGGCCAGTTATATAGCAATCTTCATGTGCAGCATTATAAGGTTGTGATTTTCTGAAACTTCAGCCACACTGCAGTGATACTTATATCAATATCTAACCAAGGCAGTGGGGTCATTGGTGCCAGTGGCAGCAGAGATTTACTTCAGAGGAGTTTCAGAAAGCTCAAAGGTCTGATATGTGTGCTTGGGAGCAGGTGGGATAGTTGCCAACTCTTTTTCAGTATGAGAGAGAAAGTGGGAAAATATAACAGGGAAAATGAGTTGTCTCACGGGCTTACATCTGTGCAATTGTGCTAGAGGAAGAGTGACAGCAGCACCAAGTTTTTTCAGCACCGGTATGGTCCACTTTTTCTGGGCTCAGACTAGGAAACTACAGCCCACTTAGATGCTGCTATATGGGAACTGCTCAGAAACAGCATCTTCCAGACAGTTCCCCTCAAGCCACCACAGAGCAATAGAAATCCAGCAAATAAAAGCTGTAGCCACCACCCAACTGCTCCATCAAAGAGGCAAACTCTGGCCTCTTAAAAAAAAAGGGGGGGGGGAGAAAAAGAAAACCAATACAAACCAAAAAACCCCAGATCCATTAATGAAAAATAAAGCACAAGGCAAGGGGTGATGAAAACAAATAAAACTGAGACTGTAAAATGCCTGGTATGTAAGATGTGTTGAAACTTGCTGCTGACAGCAGCTTCAGCAGACATTCACATGCAGCCATTCATAAGATGCACAGTAATTACCTTCTCTGGGAGGCTGTATTATGATGATTTCTTTAAGCAGAGCACAATATCTCTAGCAACAGGATATAATTACAGCAAAGGATATGCCTCTTAACCTCCCCCCCCCCAGCCAGCTCAGGGAGAGAGCTGGGAGCCAGGGGCTCTGTGGGGAGGGTGAAAGTAGTTTACCCTGTGTTACTGTGCTCATTACCTATAGCCCAGCACGCTTTTGATGGGAGATTGCGGTGGCATTGCTCTCAAAGGAACCCAGCCTCTCTCCCCCTCAGCTTAGGGTGGAAACACTCCCAACACTGCAGGACTTTGACAGAGCTGGCAACAGCCACCAGGCCACCGGAGGAGTCCAGCACAGCCAGCCTGCTCTGGGCCGGCACCTCAGTGGTAAATAAGTAAATACCAAAAATAAACAGGCAAGGGAATGACTCAGAACTGGAACGTGCTGGTAGTGCTGTGAGGCAGCAGGGCTTCCCACCTCCAGAGTGGGGCCTTGCTGGCCCCAAATACTCCGCTGCAGAGCCTCTTTGGAGAGCCAGCAAGCTCTAGGGAAAGAAACAAAGCTCCCAGGTAAGGACAGTCACCATGCCCATTATGGGCCGTGGTGTCTCCAGGGCACTGATGCCACCTCCTGGTGATTACCTGGGCCACCTGCAGCAGCCACAATGCCACAGTTGGTCCTCCCAGCTCAGCTCCCTGGGGCTGGCTGTTCTGTTCCACTTCCACAGCTTTCCTCCAGAGAGGCACAGGAAATCCTATTGCTGCAGCTGCTGGGTTAATTTACACAGGGTCCAGAAGTAGAGAAAGATGCAAACAGTGACAAAACCCTAAGAGCTGTGCACTCAAGCCAGGGGCCTCAGTCTCTCACACTGCTTCTATCCATGCCTGGTACTCACTTTTCCAGATTTCTCTGTGATGGTGAAGTGGCCAACGCAGTCAACAGTTGCCAGTGAGATTTGTTGTACTGGGAAATGGCTCAGTGAGGTGAAGTTCCATTTGCAGACCAGCAGATAGGGAGGCTGTGAGCATCATGACTTGCTCCTTCTAATTATTTCAATCATCAGTCCTAGGGGGGAAAGAAAAAGGTTAATTCCTGGCCCCATGTCTCTCCACCGCAAACCAAAAATGCAGTGCTGCATCTGACCCTAGGCTCTGTTGTTTCTAGCCCACACACTGATTATCTGAAAGTCAAAATGAGAGCTCAGCCTTCATTTTCCAAAATCCTCTGCAGTAGCAGTGCTCAGTGGCTCAGGCTGCCCATGCCAGGCACTAAGAGCAGAGAGCCTGGGATGTTTTCAGAACCCCTTTTCAAGATTTCAGACAGGTTTACTTCCCATTCCAGGATAGAGGATGGTTTGTCGTTGTTTCTTTTTTTTTTTTTTTTGCAGATGAGAGACTGGAAAGCTTGTGTAATGCGAAATAACTAAAATTAAAGAATAACCAACATTTTCCTCACTAGTCTGGAAATTGCATTACAAGTGGGAGTCAGCTTGGTGCAAGTTTGCAAGCTGTGATATCAGTAGGAGAATTTCCCTTCCTATTTACAAAAGGAAATGAATTTTGCATCCACCGGATGGCAGTGTAGGGAGAGTATTAGTCGTAGTATTATTTTCCTTTTAAGACTCTCAAAACTGATTGCAGGCGCAGCAATTCATTGCTTATTAAGATCTCCCAGCATTACAACCAGGCAAAAAATCTAGGTCTCATTAATAAACCATCTTCTAGGATCTCCATAAGAAGACAAACTCTGATTAGCCAAGATTGTTCAATGAATGATTTGTCTTGTCTGACAAAAATAAATGATTGTTTGGAAGAGAGTGTGCTTTAAATAGTTCACTCTTTATAACAAAACCAAAGACTTTAGATAGAAATACACATAGTAAGAAGGCAGTATTTCCATTTCAGGAGGAGGTAACTTCATGCATCAGGCTAGCAGGTGCTAACTGTAAACAACGTTTACCTTAGAGTTCAGACACTGTGGGACCGAATAATTTTGAGCCTGAAATGGCAACATTTTCTGCAGTTTCTGTTGTGAAAACATTTCAATGAGCAGAAAGACTATACGACTCTCAGACATGGCAGGAGATTAGTTATCAACTGCAGGGAACAAATTTTGTTTCCTGCACAGCATAAAGTTCTAAATAATAAGGCTGAATGTTAAAATCTAGGTAAGTAATATTAGTGAGATCCATCGTATCAACAAGACGATTGGCCCAGAGTAATAAGCGCTGGAAAATCAGCACAAAAAAAAGCCCTGGGGAGCCAAGCCACAGGCTACCCTGTTGCCACTAGAGGGCAATAGCAATCAAGCGACAAAAACCTCTCGAGGCGAGGAGCTGTTCGCGAAGGTCCGGTCGAACATGGCCAAGCCGCGTTTCCCGAGGCAGCCGCAGCTCCCCGCCGAGCTCTGGTCGCGGTCTGCGGCGCGGCTCTCCCCGGGCAGCCCCCCGGCCCTGCCGTCGGCGCGCTCGACCCCCGTGCGGCAGGCAGGTAGCGCCTGCTGTCAGCCCCGGGGTTTGGTTCGCCTGGGTTAGCTAGTGGAAAATATTCACAGATGGTTTTCGTCTAGAAAAACAGCCACAAGTAAAAGAAGTACTTTTACCGGCATGTGTTTCAGCATCATCAAATAGGTGGTCAGATGCCGCTCTGAACAGATGATTGATCCAACATAACACATCATTCAATTCCAGATGTTGCAGAGAGTGAGAAAGGGAGATGGAAAGACTTTAGCAGCCTCATGCATTTGGCTTACTGCAGGGAAGGTTTGGAGGTGATTTGATCTAAATCTATTAATGTTTCTCAGTGGGGGACTGTGGGAGATGCTAAAGGACTCCAAGAATCTAACAAACAAAACTATAACTAAATCCAGAAGCTCAAAGTAAAAGCTGGATAAAATCAAACTGCAAATAATATGAGCACTTAAAAATTAAAACTTGCAATAATGTCAGGAGTTAATCACTTGAACAAATCATGTAGGGGAGAGTTTTATTCTCCACCCTTTGAGCTCTTACAACAAGATTTGCTGTCTTCCTAAAATATGTGCTGTAGCGTAACAGTGAATTATTAGCCTCGATGCAGACATTACGGGTACAGGTCTCGTCTGAATGAGGCAGAAGGTGAGACTAGATTAGCAGCACGGTCTCTTCTTGTAATTACAGTCCACAAATATCAAGGTTCTTGTCACAGAGAATTGTCTTTCAGCTGTAGGGGATGACTCCCACCTTTGCAAACTCAACTTCACAGGCTGTGTCAAAGCAGCAGTGACAGCATCTCCAAGGACTCTGCCACACAAAAAGCAGAGGTGGCCTTCAGCTAATGCGGTGCCTTCTATTGTCCAGTCATTACCTGTCTCTTCAAACAAAAAGACCATGAGCATGAAGAAACTATTGTCTACACCAGCCTGCCCAGGGCCAACACCTGGGCCATTCTGTACCTCTGGTGGGGTACTAGTTCCTGGGCTGTGGCACCAGCTGAGAAGACACTCAGGGCAGGAACTGGTATGTGGGATTCATGAAGATGTGGGACACTTTCAATGTTTTGAGACTCCAGAGGTGTTAGTAATTCAGAGGTCACGTAGCCCAGAAAGTAATGTCTGCAATGCCTGCCCTTTTACTTCTCAGTCATGGGCCACAGGGAGATCTTTAATGAAGGAGAAGGAATGGATACAGCTCCCTGGGAGTTGCATGTTGCACAGACAACACAGACTTGTGACTCAAGCATCCAAAAGCATCATGACACTGAAACACCCCCAGCCTCAGCCCAGCCCTTGTGTCCTGCAGAACAGACAACACCAACATAAACAAAAGCTCAGTCTTTCCCATCAGAGACACAGATTACTGCTATACCAGCTGTAAACTGTTTCCAACCTAACCAAATGTCAGTGCTTAACAAGGCTGGACAGTTATAAAACAGAATGTGATGACAGCACACTGGTCCTTACAATAACTTAGGGGTATTTCTCTACAGAAGCAGCATGAGGTGGTACAGGAACAAAGCAGGTAGAGAGTAGAAGCACACAGAGCTTGTTTCTCACGCTCCTCTGCAGAAAAAGAGCTTGCAGAAACTTTTGAGTGTTTTGTCAAGGCTCAAAAGTTCTGTCAACAAACAAGGAAGTTTATTGGGAAACAGCACAGACACAAAGGAAGTGGCACACTGCACCAGGCTGGGGATGATGGGCCTGTGCTGAAGTGGGAGTGCTGGCCCAGGTGACTACACCTGCCACAGGGAGGGGGAGCTTAGCATGCTGGGCTATTTGCTCACTTTTCTGAATTGGAAAAAGGTAAAAATCCCACCAAATTAAGGCAAGAGGACTTGATGTGAAGAAGGTGGCAAAAACATGTTTGAACATTGTACTGTTTTGTAGGACAGGATATGATCTGGTCCAACCTCCTCCAAACATCTGCAACAACTCTCACTCTTCTTCCTCACACTAACCCCAGTCTCATGTAAGAACCCTAAGATGTCACTCCTGCTTTCTTCAGGCTTGAATTCCCACTTGTGTGCTCACATGTGATTCTAATGTCTGCAGCCTGCTCCTGGTAAAGAGGAGGGGACCTCATCTGAGGGGGAATCCTGTTTAGCCCAAGTGATCAGCCCTCAAAACCCATCTCAGGATCTGCCTGCAATGCCTTTCTTGTGACATGTAACTAGAGCGGTTCTACAAATCAACAAGTTACACTACTTTTCTGGGCAAGTCAACTCCAAAGCAGAATGCCTAACTGTGGCTCTCCCCATTTCCAGGGCCAATAGCATATGGGGTACACCTTTATGGATACTCACATACATACAAGCAAAGCAAGCACCATGACCTTAAAAGTAAATGCTGGAGCCCAAACCATGCTCCTACATGCTCCTGCTCAATTTGCAGAACAGGAGAGAGGAGGTTATGGGGTAGCAAGTCTGATACAGGCAGCAGTCAGATTGACAGTGCTGGTGGATGTAGGAAAGTGAAAGAATCTAGGTGGGAGTGCACAGCCAAATTAGGGGTCGAAGGGTTAAGAGAAGAGAGCCCATTATTCCCCACTACCACTGTGTTCCAGGCATAAGAAACATTTGGAGCTAATTAGAGGGAGAGCAGAACAATGCACTAGAGAAAGCAACAATGCCCTGTTTCAACCCAGCAGATGAGCTTCGTGCTCAGAGCAAATTGGTCTAAAATGAGTATTGCTCTATCTCAAAACCAAAAAGGTGTGACCTACTCTCTGACCCTGGCATCAGCTGGCAGGAACAGAATTGACAGAATGATTCTTCATCCCCATCATGTAGAGATTGAGCATATTCAATTCCATCTCAGAAATAAAAGCCATCAGCTTTTCCATCTGATTTGGGGTAACTAATAATACAGAACTGCACTTATTAACTAAACTGGACTGTATTGTGAAGAGCTCCACGGCAACAACTAAATGGACTTGACATAAACAGCCATGAGAGGGTCTTTGTGACTTCGAAGCCTTAAGTAATAGCCTTAACATTTGCAAAAGTAAAGTATTTGCTTTTTAAAATTATTATAATGGACTTTTGTGAAAATTTTGCTCCTGAATAATACAAATTTCCAAATCTGAGGCTACAGCACGTAAATGCTAGGCTCTACACAAGATCTGGGAAACTTCTGGAAGTTATTCTGGAGTAACTTCTGGAAGTTATTTTCCAAAGCCACTTAGAAGCTTCAGTGTCAAGCTAGCTTGATTTTATTGTGAGTTGATTATTTGGGTGTTGTCTTCTAGTGAAGTCGCTCTGAGACACTCCACTTGATGACAATAGGGCTCACGTTCTGAAGAATTAATACTTTAAGTTTTAATGTCTGGGGAAAGAGGCAAAATGTTGAAGGCTCAAAGAAACTTAAATTATCATTGGACTAGTGGGCTACAAGCAGGTATTTTTAGGTATCCCAATTCCCAGTATTTGTCATCAGAGAAACCTCAAAAGCTCCTAGGTCTCAGAGCACCTTACTGAAAGCTGCATGGGCACTACCTGTATTTGATAGCCACTAAACAGACATCTGTAAAAACTTCTGTCTGCAGGCAGAAATGAACACATCAACATTTAACAAATGACAAATGCTCTTCA